TTCTCCGCCATCTCGAGCCGACAGGATCCTGCACCCAAACGGGCGGGTCAGCCAGTCATGGCTGAACGCAAGCAGCTCCTCTGAGGATCGTGTCCGAATCCTCGCGCGAGCCGAAACCTTCAAGTTTGTTCCTCCTCTCGACGATGCGGACCTGATACTGCCTCGATTTTGACCTGCTGCTGCCTCGATTCTTGACCCGAACCCTTTGGCTGACTCATGTGTCCGCCCGCCCCCCTCTAGATACTATCCGGCGCTGTTCAACACGACGAAACAGAACCCACAGCCTTCGGCCCTGCCGCTGCCCCAGCTAGAGACCTCTCCCCGACACCGTCCTGACGGCCCTGGCCCAGCTCGCCGCATGTCAGACCGGCACACCCCGTGCGCTCGTTTCCGTCTTCGATTGCGACTATCAGCACATCATTGCCGAGGCCACACCCGCCCTGCCTCTCGTTCCCGGCCTACGCGCCGCCGACCACGACCATGACCTCTGGCTCTGCGGCACCGCCATCCCCCGACGCTTCGGCGTCTGCGAGGCCGTGCTGTACCCTCTCGATCCCCTCGCCCCCGAGCAAGGCGAGGGATCGACGACGCTGCCCGTCCTCTGTGTGCCCGACCTCGAACAGGACAAGCGCTTCGCCTCGACCCTCTACTGCGGCCCCGGGTCTCCGGCCAAGTTCTTCGCCGGCGTGCCCATCCGCACCGCCAAAGGTGTCAACATGGGCGTGCTCAGCGTCGTCGATACCGTCTTGCGTGACGACTGTTAGCCCGCACATGACCCGCGTGCTGCGCAACCTGTCCAAGGCCATCACGGAGCACTTCGAGGCCGGCAGGGCAGCCGCCGCCGCGCGCCGAGGTGCACGCTTGAACAGGGGCCTGGGATCCTTCTTCGAGGAGCGGCTACCATCTCTGGCTGGCGGCATGACGACACGACGACGCCTTTCAGGACGATCCGTCCCACGAAGGAGCCCTCGATGCCCGCCAACAAGACCTCCAGCGTCTGAGGAGGACCGCATACTCGAAGCGAACGAGCAGGCACGCGTGTCCCTCGCCACCTCCAAGGCGGGTGACCAGTCCCTAAACGATCCTGCCCCTCAGCCATATTCCCGTGCCTCCACCCCGCACCACTCGAGTAGCAGTTCCAGGAGCTCCAACACGTCGTTGAAAAGTCCCATGTTCCTTCGCCCACACGATTTGCAGGGCAACAGCGTCGGCACGATCTTTTCCAAAGCGGCCAACATGATTCGAGAGTCTCTCGAGATCGAAGGATGCGTCTTCTTCGACGCACACGTACGGTTGTTTGGCGGCCTCAGCGACGTCAAGCCCCACGCGGACCATGGCGACGTCGCAGCACAGTCCGCGAGCAGCAGCGACGCTCTCTCCTCGTCTGGCGGCGAGAACGCAGCACCAGACTGCCGCGTGCTCGGCTTCGCCACGACAGACGCGTCCAGCATCAACGGCGCGCGGCCCTCGGCCATGCGCGCCAACCTGCCCGAGGGCTTTTTGGCGCGTCTGCTCCGACGCTACCCCGATGGCAAGATATTCAATTTCCGCCCCAACGGCGAGCTGCGCCTGACCGACTCCTCGGAAGACGACCGCTTGACAGCGTTGCCAGGCATGCTGACACACGCCGCAAATCCTCGTTCTTCCCCTGCGCCGTCCCGACGTCGCAACCACCCTTGGGCCCGGCACCGCGAGGGCACCGCCATTCTGCGAGCGTTCCCCGGAGCACAATGCGTCGCCTTTGTCCCCGTCCGGGATTCGAAGAAAGATCGATGGCGCGCCGGGGGGTTCGTCTACACCAACACACCGGCCCGGGTGTTTACCGTGGCCGGCGAGCTCAGCTTCCTGACGGCTTTCGGCGTCCTTGCCATGTCCGAGATAGCGCGCCTCGAGACGCTTCAGGCGGACAAGGCGAAATCAGACGCCTTGAGCTCGCTGTCTCACGAACTGCGCTCCCCACTTCACGGCGTCATCCTGGCAGCCGAGCTGCTTCACGACACGGGCTTGACCGTCTTCCAGGGGAACATTCTACACACCATTGAGACGTGTGGCAGGACGCTGATGGACACGCTCGATCATTTACTCGACTTCTCCAAGATCAACAACTTTACGACGATGGCCAGGGGCAGCTGCTTCCACCCGACCGCGAAGTCCCGAGTCTACGCGCAGGCCCCATCCGTGGCCTACAATTCGGCAGTTGTCAATCGAAGCTGGCGTGCGGGTGCTGGGAGTCTAATGGGGCCTCTCGATTTACTGGTGGAGGATGTTGTGGAAAGTGTTTCGCGGCTTCGATTTTCAGTGACAGTCATGGCACATTGAGAAGACAGGAGCGCGGATGTAGATGCAAGTCATCAGTCGGATGGACGCACATACGCATGCAGGACTTTGGTTCTACTCAGATGACTGGCCCAACCCCATTGATCTGGGGTTCAACCGCGTCTTTGTCTCCCTCGACCTTGACCCGCAGTGCAGCTGGATCTTCCACACATCACCCGGTGCGTTCCGCCGCGTGGTTCTCAACCTCGTGGGCAATGCCCTCAAGTACACGCAAGAAGGGTCCATCGTGGTGTCCCTACGACAAGAGACGCCACCCGTGTCTGCCAACCACGACCTCCCACCGCGGTCTCGCAAGGTCGTCCTCGTGGTCGCCGACACGGGCAAGGGCATCGGCGAAGACTATCTGCAGAATAATCTTTTCCGCGCGTTCGCGCAGGAAGACCATCTGAGCGCCGGGACGGGTCTTGGTCTGTCCCTCGTCAAGCAGATCGTCACCAACCTCGACGGCAAGATCAGCGTGAAGAGCCGGGTAGCGGTCGGGACGACAGTCACAGTGTCCGTGCCTCTGCAAGCCGCCACCAACGAGTCCGGGTACATGGGCGACGACGACGAGTTCGCAGCGCACGTTTCCGATCTCAAGGGTCTGCGGGTTCTCCTCAGCGGCTTCAGCGAGTCCCACGGGGATGACACGGGCGCGCAAGCGCGGGCGAGGCCCGGTCGTGATGGGTTCGGCCGCGGCCTGACCGAAGGCATCTGTCGCGACTGGCTCAAAATGGAGGTTTTGTCGGGTGCGGAGACGCTCGTGCCCGATGTCGTCCTTGTTGCGGAGCACGCCATGCCGGATGTCGATGTGTCGACGTTCAGGAACCCGCCCTGCGTCGTTGTGTGCGCCAACCCCCTCCTGGCCTTCGACCGTTCGACATCGGCGGAAGCCGCCCAGACGGAGGGGGTGTTTGAGTTCATTTCACAACCGTACGTTCCGCATCCTTGCCATTGGACTGACCCTCGAGAGTGAACGTGCTGTGCTAACGCAAAGACGACAGGCTCGGCCCCGCGCAAGCTCGCCAAGATTCTGCTCCTCGCCTGCCAGCGATGGCTCGCACTGCAATCATCGCAGTCGCTGGACTTTGTTCCAGCAGAGCTGTGTCTTCCCCCAACGCGACGGCCAAGTCCGCCTCGACAAGGCACAGGTGACGAGGGGGGTGCAGCTGTCGAGAACCCGGACGCCGAGGAAGGGAAGGCGGGGCAGGCGTCGACGGCACCCCCTGAGGCTTCCTCTCGGGCCGCTGCTTCGCCGGTGTTGGAGCAATTGCAGACGCCTGGGTCGATTCTGTCGTGGAGGGGCCGGTACGTGCAGACACCGCCGTCGGAGTGTACGGTGCCGCTGTCGGAGACGGGAGAAAAGGCGCGCAAATTCCTGCTGGTGGACGACAACAGCATCAACCTTCGGATCCTGTCTTCGTACGTCAAGAAGCTGGGGCGGCCGCTCGGCACGGCGACAAACGGCCTGGAGGCGTACGAGGCATACCGGACCGAGCCCGAAGAATACAGCTGCATCTTCATGGACATTTCGATGCCCGTCATGGACGGGTTCGAAGCGACGCGGCGCATCCGGACGTTTGAGCGGGAGAGGCAGCTGCCGCCCATCACGATCATTGCGCTGTCGGGTCTGGCGTCGGAGAGCGCGCAGGACGAGGCGTTTGTCAGCGGGATCGACCTCTTTCTGACGAAGCCGGTGCGGTTGAAGGACATGGCGTCTGTGCTTGAGTCGCGAAATTTGCTGCGGCTGGACTGAGGAGCAAGCAGGGGAGGACGGAGATCTGGAGCTCGAGGGTTTACTTTTTTCTTCTTCTTCTCTCTTTCTCGGGCTTCCGACTGTTATCGATTGAGGGGAATGATGAAGGAAAAGAGAATATGGAAGGGATGCACGGCGCACATGGAGGTCATCTCATGGTGTATTTGGCTTGGGTCCTCTCTCTTTGGTCTGTCTTGGCAGGCTTCGAACCTGGACGGCGTCCACAGTTGTGTTTTGGGCTTGTTAGAGCTGATACCCCGTCCCAGGAACGCACGGCGTTTGCATGGTAGCAAGAGAGGTCATAGGGGGATGCTTTCGTTTTTGTTTTGTGCTACTCCATGCGTACACAGAGTCGGAGGATCAAAGCTGCTAGCTCAAGCATCAAAGCTGCTAGCTCAACAGACGATGACAGCTGGTGGGAGGTTTAGTTGAACAGCCGGCGGCAGCTGGGAAGACCCGTCGGTCGCTGCCTGGGAAGGCGGCTCCGCCGAAGCTCCTTCCCTCCCGAGACCTCAATGGACTGGACCCAACAACGCCCCCCGCTCTTGCTGGGAAAGGCCAAGACCGAAGGGTATCGGAATCACCATGACTTCCAGGGAGACGCCTTCGTAGGCATCAGCCAATGAGCCAAATACAAGGACAACGGATGGCCATGATAATTCGGCTGCCTGGGGCGATTGGAATCATTATCCTTGCGGTGGAGAGAAGAAAAGGCCCGGTGGTTTCTTCCGGGTCTGGCGCACGTCTCTGGATGCTGGTGATCCATCCACCCATCGCCGGCGTGCAAAAGGCGGCAGGCCTGGTTCGATAAATACCATGGACCATGATCCGACCTCTCTATCGTCTCGAGCAGGAACAGTACTCTCGGAACCGTCAGACAACGAGCATCTCAATATATCGCCCAATTGGCCGCCGGCATCATCCTCTTGCAATGAACGTGACGGACGAATTCATCCTCGAACACGCCCAGCGTACCTGCGCCTCGTCGCTGCGTACAGGCCTCCTCCCACTCCCGCCTCAAAAGAGGGTGGCGGGACCAAGGACGATGCCGGCATTGTCATCGTGACGCGGCTGCGGCCTATGCTCGGCGACGAGCTGTCTTCGGGCATGGTGCCTGGCCTCTTCCCTCGTGAGCACACGACGGGCCATGTCGACCTTCACGAGCTGAGGCGGCCGGTCAGGGGGTTGCCGGGTCTGAATGTTTGTTTGCCTTTTTTGTAATAGCCCACATGTCCGTGTCGCTTTTCTGACCGACCGCGCAGTCCTTCAACTACCGCGTCGACAAGTTCTACGGCGTTGACACGTCTTCCGAGGACATCTACCACGACCTGGTCCACCCCCTCGTGGCCTGGGCCTGGGGCGGCGGCGTCAGCACCTTCTTCGCCTACGGCCAGACGGGCTCGGGCAAGACGTACACCGTCAGCGCCCTCGAGCGCCTCGTCGCTGAGACGCTGACGGCCGGCACGCTGGAGGGCCGGCGCGAGATGCACGTCTCCATCGTTGAGCTCGCCGGCAACGCCGCCGCCGACCTCCTCAACGCCCGCAAGCCCGTCTCCGTCCTCGAGGACTCGTTCGG